GATTGGTTATCAGTTGCTTTTAGTTAAGAGTTATTTTAGATTATTAATATATTTACCCTTGTTTCGAGCTGGCTTGAACACTGATTGTGTGTTGATGTTATTGATCATTTATCTCTGCAGTTTATGAGTACACTGACTCGTACAAAACACAGTATAAAGTAAACCTGCCTGAGCTGTCACAGTTGGCCCAGTACTTGCACTGTACATGTCTGTGTATTCTATAACTGAAATTAGACAGACATCCATAGTCCAACATTATTGAATAATTGCATCTCACTAGGGTCACCAGCTCCGATTACACATATTCTAGAAGTTTCGTTCCAAACCTCCAACAAAATTGCACAGTCAGCAGTCTTTTTCTTATAACTAATGAACAAAATATTTCAAAGAAAATGACAATTTTTCGATTAATGTCCCTACGATTTATCTGCTAGTTTCCTGACCACAGTGTTTAGAAAATTAATCTTTAACTCCTATAGACTCAAGAGCAATCATGGAGGGTTGCATTCCAAAATGCTCCCTAGTAATTTGCAGTCCTGACTCAGCATTGTGGGCCTAATAATTAGGCTCAGTATCCCAGAGCCAAGTGGCAGCACAAAAATCAGTTCCTTTTAATCTTGAAACAATTCAGAGAACGCTGGAGAAACCCAACAGATCTGGCAGCATATGTGGAGAGAAAGAGAATTAAAGTTTTGAGTCTGGTATGACACTTTGAATCCTGGTCCTTCCTGGAAAGTCTCAGACTTGCTGAGTACTATATTGGATTGTCCAGTGGTGGGCCAATAGTTGGAAATCAGACCATCACTTCTTGTGAAGGATTACACATGAGGAACTAGGAAGATCCCAATACCTCTGGAACTCCCTGCATGAGTCACATTCAGAAGGAGGGAGCAAACTCCAGGTAAGACAAAAATAGAAAGGAATCAGGAGAGGAGAATAAGGAATAAATTATAGAAGGTCACAGGGCAGCTTGAAAGAGTGGCTAATAATGGATTCAGCATCCAAGGCTTTATTTATAGGGGTACAGAGACAAGAGCAAAGAGGTTATTCTTCAACTGAAGTACTGCATCCAGCTCTGGGCATCATGTTTGAGGAAGGATTATTTTCCTTGGAAGAGAGAAGGCTGAGAGGAGATTGGAAAGAGGTCTTCAAATCATAAAGATTCAGAGCTGAGCAAGGGCCCACTAAAAACATGAAAAAGCAACATGAGGAGAAACTTTATCGCAAGGCGAGTGGTTAAGGTCTGGACTGTACAGCCCAAGAGTGAGATGAAGGCAGGTTCAATTGAAGAGGGTTAGACTGTGATTTGAAAGGGAAGTGTGCACTATTACAGGGAGAAACCAAAAGAATGGCATTCAGTGAAATGCTCGTTCAGAGAGCTAGCGCAGACACAATGGGTTGAATGGCCTCCTACACCGAAACAATTCGATGTAAAGGATTGTTTTAGTTGTTAGTTCATTAAGCTGGTGAGGGATGCAATTGAGTGTAAACTGATCCTTATTGGAAAAATAAGCTAATAGGAGTCTAGTGTTGGTCATGAACCAATAAAAGGAATTGATCAAGTAACTGTTGAGAGATATTCAAGGGCATGGCTATGAACAGATGACATCATGAATGTTTTAAGAAACAGTTTAACACCAGTGGAAAAGATTTCCTCCAATAGCATATTGTAGATGTGTTCACAGTTTTAATTCACAGAGGAATCCTTTCAACATAGTTGTTAACCATTTGATTGGATTGTAGTTGACATTAGCCCAATGAAGTGTTTAGGAGAAAAGGGAAGAGACTGTGTTCACCTAAGAGCAGATATGGTTAGAGTAGAATAAACCTGAAAGCAAGACGATGAGACACAGCAAACTTGATTCAATAAAAAAATCTTTTCTCCATTCTGCGCCGATGACCTGATAACATAGCGTGAGTCATGTGATATGAGGCACAACAGTCCAGCGATGACAACCAACATGTTGTCATGGAAATACTGATCAATGATCACTTCCTCCATTTGGATTGCACTGATCATCTACACCTCTGACAATTCTCTGCCCACAACAGACTCAAGGTCAGAGAATGTTGTTAAACTGATTTCCCCTCTCCTTCCTTCTTGAAGGTGGTGTCTCCTTGTCGGATTCTGGTTCCACATTTGATGCTAACATCCCACCATTTCACTCATCTTTGAGCTATGATAACAAGTGTCAGCCACTCTTCAATGATGAAGGTCATTGAAAGTTCCTCTGGACAGCCATTGAGGGAAAGAAACCTCTCAGAGGTCAAATATAAGATGCATCTTGTGCCCCCCGACTGGGACTAGCTAGCCTCCGTTCCTGATTCTACTACGGATAAACTGACTGATGTTGTGGAGCCAGCAATGAAGGCTACTTCCAACATTTGTTGCAAGAAATATAAATCACTTTAAAAAGAATGAGCTGAATATTCTGAGATTATAAGGTGATGGTTACCACCGAGAAACAGAGTTTAGAAAGTCGATGACAAATTCTAAACTCTTCAATTTTGGTAAATCTGAATGATAAGTCCCAGGCTAGGCTTTCCAGTCAGAGACAGCATTGCATCAGTCATTGATGAATGTCCTCCACATGACAAAACAACAAAGGATGTTGTAAAACTATCGACACCTAACAAGACTCTGGGCATTTCAAACTAAACACAAAATGTTACACTTTATGAATAATTTATAGCCATCAAATTCTATTATTGGGTTATTTTGCATCGACTTTGGTGGGAAATGCACAAAGGAAGAGTATTTCTAGCCCTGATTTTTATATAAAACCATCTGCTCCTCTCCGTTGCCCAAGCATTCAACATTTCCAGGCTGATGTGTAGACTAATGCTTTCAACTGTCGCGCAACAGTACCTTTATCTCAAGCCAACATTTCTGGATTTTGTATCTGTCTTCCGTTAGGTCTGCCTGTGCTTCTGTTGATGTCATCCCATCATTGACTGTGTCTCCATGGTACAGTAGCACAGAAATGCTGTTGTGCTATCTTGTAGCCATTGCCTATGACAATGAATACTATTCCCATCATGCCTCATGCAAGAGCATGTGATTAACAGTTGACATTGGTTCTAGTAGACAATTTATTTGGAATTAATGGGTTGTGTTAAGCAGATAAATGTGTACCGATGCAATTCTTCTTATTAGTCTCACGGCACAGATGTAAAATGGTAGGTACATGTGAACAAAAATAACACTAAATGGTTGCAAGTATTATCTTTCATGCAATGCTTTGTCCAAAATCGGGGAATGACTATTAAGTGCATTCTTCTAGTTCCTCTGTATTTTTGCTGTACATTTTAATAATTTTATAGGTTAAAGCTTCTCAGCCTGGGCTGAAGGACAGTGCAATTTTTATGAAGAGGTGGGAGAATTTATTGAAGCACTGTCACCTCTACTGCCCCACTCTTAGACATTTTCACCCATCATCCAAAGTATGGCTTCAAGAATCAGTTCATCATTAAACCATAATGCTAGAGTGGAAGATCTCACCTGCTGTCAACAGTGGGTAAGGTCATGCTTAGGCTCAGTTGTGATGTTAAACTGTGGTGAGAGAGCTCCGCCTTCTTCCTGGTTTATATATGAATGTCTGGTTGAATCAGATACCTGAGAGCAACCAGCACCTGTGAAACCAGCTCCGGCATGGAGTCACACTTTGAAGACTGGAGAGAATTGACAAGTGCAAAATTGTTCATTTTGGACAAAGTTTTGCCAAATATATTCCAAAATAAGGCCACACAGCTGAAACCTGACCTGATAACAAAAGTGAACTGGATAATCAAATGGTTAAGATGAAGATGCATGGGGTAGCCATTATAGGAGGAGTGTCTTCATGGAAAGAAATAGCATGCAACTTACTCTGGAGTTGTTTTGGGGACCAAAACAGATTGAGGTTAGCACCATTTAATACATAGAATGAGAAGCACGATCTACCACATTGGGTGAACTAACACCAATGGAAAGAAGTTACCATTTAAGCCCCTGGTGATAACCAGTTTGCCAGTTCTTCGCTGACTGGTCTTCCTGTGCAAAGCCAGAATTGAGTCGAGTGTTTGGTTGACAGCTTCTCCACAATGCTGCTGGATTCTGAGAGCCTAGCACGTTTAATCCCAACTCTTTCTTTTGCCCAAGCCTTTGTAGACAATGGCCAATCTGTGGAAAGTAGAGATGTTACATTGAAAATATTAATTTCTTCATCAAAAGCATTTGATTGCATTCTAACCTGCACTCCAGTCCTTAATTCAGACTCATGCAGCTCCAGTTTTATTTTGAAGTGACATAAACAAGGAGAAGAGGACCAGTTGGAGTAGGAATTTGTCTTGGCCATTCAGGCAAAAGGCCACCAGTGATTCCAACAGAATTCATTATCTGCCAGCTATAGTTTAATGATGGGCAAGGCAAGTTTTTAGCCCTCTGTTTTGATTTTTAAAGTTTAATTTTCCCCAGATTTTTGTTTACAGCATATTTTTACTTTCTTGCCCTTTGCTGTCAAGCATACCTTTCCCAATTTGCGTGATAGATCCTATCAGTAACTTCAAGATATTGCTAGTGAAAATGGTTAATCACTTGTAGTCATTCACTTGAAGACACTGTATTTGGTAACAAAGAGTACTGCACATATGCAGAGAGGATTATACATTTGCATGAAGCAGCTTACTGATGGAATTGGCATTGTCATGGTTCGTGTACTCACAGAGTGCCCAGTATTGTGTCCTATCGATCTGTGACACATGACTGTCTGTTTTGTGTTGCAGCATAATTAAATTGTAAACCATTGCCTAATAGCAAAGCGATGTAACATGTCCTGCTCAGACGTTTTGAACTTTCTATTTTTGTTTTGTTGCCTTTCTGTTGCTGTTAATGTAGGATGTTTCTGTGTGTCAATGACCTTCTGCATGAGTGTGTTTCATATTATCAGCAGCTCAGCTTCGTTCAGCTCTCATCCTGTTCTGTGCCCCATGAGCCTCATGGCACCCTTTCTGTCCTGCAGGCTGAGCAGATCCAAGAACAGCAGGCGAAGGAGGAGATCCCAGAGAAGAACCTTCTGACTGTGAGGAAGAGTTTTGTAGGTCGAACACACTCACTGCCCAATGACAGCTACATGTTTCAGCCTGTTGACCCTGCTCCCTTGCAGGGTCTACAGAGATCAGAGAGCAGTCACCGGCTACAGTCAGGTATGTCTCACCCAACCGTGCTGAATGGAAGTGATGTGGTTAGATCTACTCAATGCAACAACTCACTATGTCCAACAGTTCTGGCAAAGGGAATTCAAATTGAAAATCAATCACATTTTCTGCATCAATCCAACCCTCAAAATCCTCAACAATGAGGAAATCCTGCACATCATTGCAAAAGTTAAGGCTGCATTTGCAAACTTTTCAGCCAGAAGTGGATGGCACGGTGGCTCACTGGTTAGCAATGCTGCCTCACAGCGCCAGAGACCTGGGTTCAATTCTAGTCTTGAGTGACTGTCTGTGTGGAGTTTGCACATTTTCCCCATATCTGTGTAGGTTTCTGCCAGGTGCTCTGGTTTTCTCCCACAGTCCAAAGAGGTACGGATTGATGGATTGGCCGTGCTAAATGTCCCATAGTTTTCAGGGATGTGCAGGCTAGGTGAAATAGCTGTGGGAAATGCAGGGTTACAGGAATAGGGTGGGGCTGGGTCGGATGTTCTTTGGGCAGTCAGTGCAGACTCAATGGGGCAAATGGCTTGCTTCCACACTGAAGGGATTCTACGATTCGAAGTGCTGAGTGGATGATCTATCTTGGCCTCTTCTTGAGTCTTCACTCCCCTGGAGGCCCAGGAGACTACAAATGCTGTGGGCCCTGACAAAATTCTAAAGATTTGTGCTCCACCAGCTATGCCAAGCTGTTCCAGTACATTTACCATGCTGGCATCTACCCAGCAATGTAGAAGATTGCCCCGGTTTGTTAGGTAAACAAACAAAAAGCAGGACAAATCCAACTAAGCCAATTTGTCTCTTTATCATCAGTAAAAAGTGATGGAAGGATTGTTAACAGTGCTGTCAAGCAGCACTTACTCAGCAATAACCTGCTCAATGATGCCCAGTTTGGGTTCTGCTAGGGCCACTTGGCTCCTGATCTCATTACAGCATTAATTCAAACATGGACTGAATTCCAAAGGTGAGGCGAGAGTGACACCCCTTAACATCAAGGCTGCATTTGACTGAGTGTCAGGGAGCCCAGGCAAATCTGGAATCAATGGGAATCAGGGAATAGTTGAAGTCATACCTGGCAAATAGGAAGATGGTTGTCGTGTTTGAAATGAGTCATCTCAGCGCCAGGACATCTCTGCAGGAGATCTTCAGGGTAGTGAACCAGGCCCAATCATCTTCAGCTGCTTTATCAATGACCTTCCCTCCATCATAAGGTTAGAAGTGGGGATGTTCGTCAATGATCGCACAATGTTCAGCACCATTCACAGCTTCTCAGATACTGAAGCAGTCCATGTTCAAATGCAACAAGATCTGGAAAATACCTAGGCTTGGGCTGACAAGTGGAAGTAACATTCACATGACGCAAGTGCTAAGCAATGACCTTCTCCAACAAGAGAATCTAACAATCACCCCTTGATATTCAATGGCATTACCATTGCTGAATCGCCCACTATCAACATTCTGGGGTTAAACTGAACTGGACTGGTCACAATAATACAATAGCTATAAGAGCAGGGCAAAGACTAGGAATCCTGCAGCACGTAAATCACCTCCTGACCCCCCCACCCCACCAAAGCCTGTACACCCTCTACAAGGCACAGGATGGGAGTGTGATGGAATACTCCCCACTCACCTAGATGGGTGCAGCTCCAACAATACTCAAGAATTTTGGCACCATCCAAGGCAAAGCAGCCCGCTTGATTGGCCACTAGCATTTATACTTCACTGAGTCCCCTGATTAATCTTCACTCATTAATTCTATCCACATCCGTGTATGCAGCATGTAGGTTAATCCCCACTTGAGCTTGTAAACTGGTGCAACACTTGAGTACAGTACTAAGGGTCAGCTGTCCTGTTGTAGGTGCTATTTCTTCGATGACCTGCTGAACTATTAAACATATAGGTACATGGCACAATGATTATGGAATCCCTCCTGACAGATTCACCAATATTTACCTCTGAACCACACCATCAAAAACAGATAAACTTGTAATTTGTCAGGTTGCTGGTTCTGAGTATGGGCATGTCCCAATTTGCTGCCACATTTGTCTACAAAACAGTAATGACGTATAATGTGCTGCACTTTCAGATATTCTGAAGATGTGAAAAACTTGACACAAATTCAAGTTCATTTGTTCATTAATTAGTAAAAATGTTTTTGTCTTGCACAGGTAAATTTGATCCAATGGTTTAAAACTTGACAAATAACCATCACTGCTTATCTTTCCCCAGGTTCCACCACCTCAGTTCAGTCTCAGCCCACAGGGGCCATTGGCCACCTTCAGGTTCCCATCGGGTTGTTCCTTCCTGTCAGCCATCAGAGCAGTTTTGATTCTGAAACTATCCCGAAGATACCTCCCCCTCGGAGATCTGTGAGTGCTCACAGAATGCTGCGTAGGCAGGTAGGTGTCAGCATCTGTGGGTCCAAGGTCCCTCTACCCATCTCAAACCAAAACTGCCTTCTCACTCTTTCCTGCCGGCAGTATTTGCTTTTTCCCTTGTTCAGACATAGCAAGAAATATGGCCATGCCTTTAACCCAGCGCTTACATGTATTTTTTTTTAATGCTTTCATTTTGAAACATGAAACTAAACCAGGAAGGAAATTGACATTTGAATCTAGGTTTGTAGTTCTTACTCATCCTCTAGCTGGTGCTGTAAATCAATCCCATGTATATCACTTTCTAGAAAGTCTATGCAGCTCTCTGTAATCTATGCCCGATCTTTCTACGCTCTGTTGTACGTAAATTCTGTTCCCTTTGCTAATAATATGTGCCTATTCCAACCTGTGTCTTCCTACTTTATATTCAGCCTGTCTTGTGTGCTCTGTTAGACAGAGATCCGATGTGAAAGCATCATACATAGGAGCACAAGTGGACTGTATGCCCCTCCAGCCTACTTCACTTTTAATAAGATCATCGTTGATTGTGGACTTCAACTCTTCTTACCCATTGTAATAGACCAGACCAAATTCCCTCAAAACATATTAAGAAGATAGCCTAGACCCTAACTTTTTCTTACTTTAAAGGCAAGTGCCAGCTGTGGCATTCCGGATGCAATTCGATTGGTCAAACTACCAGTCTTGAAGCAAAACATACTTTATTCATACACTTTAGTTAAAGTACAATAAAGGAAAGAAATTGAGATAGAGTTAAGATTGAGTCTATTGGAAAACTTAACAGGATAATAGATTATCTAACTAATAAACAGTAACTGTTGCAATATAGTAACAACACATAAACACACCTTTGGCAAAAGGCAAATTCATTAAAATAAATTGTCTCACATGCAATTCTAGCAGCAGGAAGAGAACCCCCACCTTTTATGTGTAACTGAAAGGAAAAACAGCTTCCACATCCAGCTTCAAGATCCCAACAGCAATTGCTACTAAAAGTTTAAAACTAAGAATCCTAGTTTTGAAGAAGCTTGACCCCACCCATTCAGGCTGCTTCTATTGTTCCAAATTTGAAAAAAACTCAAAGCCTCACAAGCTGTTTATTTTATTAGATTCAAATAGATAGCTTGTAACCTCTGCTTTAAATTCACTCTTCAATAAAAAAGGACAAAATACATCTCTTAAAGCCATAGTATTGTCATACCACTCACATCCACGTGCCCTGACTTCCTTAGAGTATAAACATCTCCCAGTCTTGGTCTTGAAATGCTGAGCATCCATAGCTCGCCAAAGCAGACACTTTCAAAGATTCACAACACTCTGAGTGAAGACATTTCTCCTCATCTCAGTCCTCAATGTGTATCCCCTTGTCCTGAGTCCATCGGTAGAATTCTTTTAATTCTTTTTAAAATTCATTCATGGGATGTAGATGTCACTGGCCAGGCCAGCATTTATTGCCCATCCCTAATTGCCCTGAAGGCAGTTAAGAGTCAACCACATTGCTGTGCGTCTGGAGTCACATGTAGGCCAGACCAGGTAAGGATGGCCATTTCCTTCGCGAAAGGACATTAGTGAACCAGATGGGTTTTTCCCTGACAATCGGCAATGAATTTATGGTCATCATTAGACCCCTAATTCCAGATTATTATTGAATTCAAATTCCCATGATCTGCCATAGCCAGATTTAAACCCAGGTTCCCAGTACATTACCTGAGTGCCTGAATTAATAGTCTAGCGATAATACCACTAGGCCATTGCCTACCCTTCATCGCCTACCCTACCCTCTGCCCTGTCTGGTGATAGATTTGGAGTTGGGGGGTGAACATTAAATCCAGCAGGAGGCAGTGAGTTGGAACCTTCCCCACATTCCCACAACCACCCTGATTAATTCTGAGAGAGGAATGTCTATGGCCAGACTTCCCACCCTGCCACCAATTGAGCCTTTTAAGCAGATAAGTAATGACCACTGGTCCTTACCGCCACCACGGGTATTAACCCAGCCATTAGCAAGTCCATGGTGATGTGAGACACAGGCTTCTTTCTGTCTCCCAGTGAGGGAGGGAGACTGAGGAATCAACTCTCCTTCAAAGGCACTCAATGCCAGATTGGGGGATCCAGCATCGTGAAGGGAGTTGCTTGCTGAAACTCAGCCTCTGTCCTATCTGCTGACCCTTACACCCCTCCCCACTGCCCTCTACGATCACCACCCTGAGAACCCCTCCTTCCATTGCTTACCTGGGTCGTCCCTCAATCTTAGGTGTCTGGTGTTTGTTATTCCAACAGCGACCACCTCCTTCCCAGTGTCACTGCTGAGCAGAATAGCTGCCACCTCTTATTGGCCAGCAGCTGTCAGGAGGCAGGAATTCTATCCCTGTGATCAGGATCCCAAGGAAAGGCTCACCTCTGTCTGGTCAACTGCTTTATTAGCTTGTGATTTGACTGCCCTTCCCAAAGGAAGCAATGCAATTCTCTTAACTGAGGTCTCCAGCCATCAGGCAAGGTCCCTGTCTCTTCAACAAAATTCACCCTTTATCCCCAATTCTAGATCCAATTTCAGCATTTGAATTAATCTAATAGAATCTGGGGTTAATCACAACATTAACTAAGAAGGCTGCAATTCTAATTTAACTTTACTCCAAGCCTGTCCACTGTCTACTAGGCATCAGTCAGGGTGGAATATCCTCCCCTTGCATTGCAGCTCCAACAACATTGAAGAATCTGCACAGCTTCCAGGACAAAGCAGACCCACTTGATCACCACCCGATCATCCACCAAATTAAATGTTCACTCCCTCCACCCACTGACTCTCAGTTTTTTTGGTGCACCGTCTGCAAGATTCATCATAGCAACTCGCCAAGCATCCTTCCATAGTACCTTCTAAAGTCAGTCTCTCCCATAGAAGGGACGAGCAGACATATGAGAGATACACCCACAAGTTGCCCTCCAAGCCACTTACCATCCTGACTCAGAAATATATCACCATTCCTTCACTGTCACTGAGTCAGAATCCTAGGACTCCTTTCAAACTGCGAGTGTCCCTTCACTACAAGTACTGCAGTGGCTCAAAAAGGCAGATTACCAACACCTCCAGGGCAATTAGGGAGAAAGAATACAGCACACTGTAGGATGAAAGTTCATATAGAAGCTGTTTTATGAACCTCACACAGTTTCAGCTGTTCAGAACTGGTGCTAACATTTTCCTTACGTAAAATACTATGGATTCTGCAATTTTGAAATAGAAATTGCCAGAAGCTGTGCCTTCAAGTAGAGGTGTTGTCAACAACATAATGTCACTGGACTAGTATTTCAGCAGCCCAGGCTGACAACATACAGGTTCAATTTAAACCCACCCAATAAAATCTGGAATTGAAGGGTTTATCTCAATAACAGTGACCATGAAGCTATTAGTGATTGTCATTGAAAACTGTGCTGTCCTTCCCTGGTCTGATCTCTATGTGACTGGAGACCCACAGAAATGTAGGAACAAAAACAAAAAATGCTGGGAAAGCTCAGCAGGTCTGGCAGCATCTGTGAAGAAAAAATCAGAGTTAACGTTTCGGGTCGGTGACCCTTCCTCAGAACTCCCACAGAAATGTGGTTGACTCTTAAATGGCTGAGCAAGTCACTCAGTTGATGGGCAATAAAATCGGGCATGGCAGTAACATTCCCATCCATTAATTAAAATAAATGAGTCAGTGCTGATAAAAGGCCATCACTCTGAAACTTTAACTTGGTATCTCTCTCCATAGTCACTGCCTGAGTAATTGCAAAATAGTCTGCATTTACTTGTTCACCATATATTGACTTACTTGCAATATGCAGCCAGTTCCCATGTAACATTTGATTTATGATCTGAAAAGTCTTAGTAATGGTGTTCTGTAGAAGATGACTTATCATTGTAGAAATGCAGTGCATTTGTGGTATACTTATAGAACTTGCATAACATTATTTGCATTATCCTTGCTGATTCATTTCTAATTGATCTTTTCCTCCCCCCACCCCTTCTCTTTGTTTTGACAACATGTAGCTGAGCTTTTTTCATCCTCGGTCTCGTGGCAGAAGCCCTGTTCATCATAGAAACTCTTGTTGCTAATACCTTCATCACCTATTCCCTCCCCTACTCCCAGGATGGTTACTCTCCTGCCATCATGCGCACCTTCTAACCTAAAAAGTGTTCACAGTGAATCTGCTGATGTGTGGAGCCTGTTTCCTTTTTGTGTTGAAGATGGGCTTCCTGCACGAATACTAACACTGGCCTCCTGTTTTCTTCAGTACAAATGACATTTAACAGGCGTGCCACTTCACCTCTACTGCTTTGTAGACTGTTAGTCTCAGATTTTCATGTAAAACAATGTCTATTTTTGAAAACATATTTTTTAAATATTTAGAGTTAAAGTGTGGGTTTAAACTATCTTTTGACACACGTGACCCTACCTGTTGATTAAAGGGAGTGCAGCAAAAACTACTGGAGAGAAGTGGAACCTCTTGTCATTAGAAGTCTCAAAAGAATGAGGATAATTATTATTTTGTGTGACAGTGTAGAATGAACAATATTGATTCAGACGCCTGTGTTATACATTTCTTCTGGTTCCTATTGATTTCATTTTGAGAGATGTCTTCGCTCTCTGTTCTCTGCCCAAATACAGGTTTGACCCTCAGTGCCATAACCTCCATATGTGCCACTTGACAGAGTAGTGGTAATATCACTAGATTAGCAAACCAGAATCCCAGGCTAATGGCGACATGGGTTCAGACCCCACCACAGCTGATAGTGAAACTTAAATTCAACAAAAACCTGGAAATACAAGGGAGTTATTAATGGTGACCATGGAATTAACAGTATAAACTGGAGCTTCTACTGTCAATCACATGGTCACCATTATTATCTCACATTTCATTTTCAGGTTTTTGTTGAATTCAAGTTTCAGATTCAAATCAAAGGAATTCCTATCAAAGAGGATCTTCAAATGGCAGCTGGTAGATTTTTAAATTCAAGACCCACAGCTATGTGCTTGAGAAATGAATATCACTGGTTTATTGAGATTGTCAAGAGAGAAACTTACCCCTCATTGACAGCACATTGAAACTACCCTCAAGCAAATGGCATTGGCTAGTTTGGTCTTACACCATTAAGATTATGGGGTTGAGATTGCCTGCTAACTAAATATATTAATGCAGTGACAACAAGGTGCAGGGCTGGATGAACACAGCAGGCCAAGCAGCATCATAGGAGCAGAAAGGCTGACGTTTCGGGCCTAGACCCTTCATCAGAAAAGGGGGAGGGGAAGGGGGTTCTGAAATAAATAGGGAGAGAGTGGGAGGTGGATAGAAGATGGATAGAGGAGAGGATAGGTGGAGAGGAAACAAACAAGTCGAAGAGGCGGGGATGGAGCCAGTAAAGGTGAGTGTAGGGAACAGGTCGAAGAGGCGGGGATGGAGCCAGTAAAGGTGAGTGCAGGTGGTACTGGCTCCATGCCCGCCTCTTCGACCTGTTTGTTTCCTCTCCACCTATCCTCTCCTCTATCCGCCTCCCACTCTCTCCCTATTTATTTCAGAACCCCCTTCCCTCCCCCTTTTCTGATGAAGGGTCTAGGCCCGAAACGTCAGCCTTTCTGCTCCTATGATGGTGCTTGGCCTGCTGTGTTCATCCAGCCCTGCACCTTGTTGTCTCGGATTCTCCAGCATCTGCAGTTCCTACTATCTCTGATATTAATGCAGTGCTCGTTTGGCAAAAAGTTATGAAGAACAAGAATATCTGGAGTTAAGTCCCAGCCTCAGTTACTTAGATGGTCTCAGTTAGGATGATATACTCGATCCCACTAAAATCACCACAGAAAGGAGAATGAATTTTCAGTCAGGCTGACCACAACCCACTGACCCATGCTGAAAGGTGTGTGTGTGTGGACATTGTGAGGGCAAAAATTGCATTACTCCTGAATTTTTATCTCTCCTCACTCAGGTTTAGCCTGTCAAAACTCACTGCTTGGTCACTCACATGCAGAATAGTGTCTTGGGTTAAGCACTTTGGAATCTCAGTAAGGAAAGAATGTCTTAGGAAAGGCTAATAAAAATTTGATAAAGATTGAAAGGCAAGTTGCCTGCCATTTTGATACCCTAATACCTTTGTTGATTGGTTACAGCAAAAATTGAGTCAGACCATTCAAGGCCTTATTCCCTATACTGGCTCACACCCAAAATCATCTTGGACTCACCTGTAGATCTCTTTCATGGTCATTTATGGCAGATAGAAGCTGGAACAAGCTTACTTATGGTATCTCAAGGGGATTGTATGTGGAGCACTAATAATGCCACTGGACTGCAACCAGAGGCTACAATATGCTCTGGGGATGTTCAATTGGCAGCTGGTACATTTTAAGTTCAAGACCCACAGCAATGTGCTTGACTCTTAACTGCCCTCAGAAATAGCCCAGCAAGGCATTCAGTTCAAAGACAAATAGAGACGGGCAACAAATGCTAGCCTTGCCAGTGATGCCGTCATCCCATGCAAGGATAAAGAAAACAAAAATTATGTTGGACTTGGAAACAACAGGGCATAAATCCACCCTGGGAAACCTGTAGCAGCAGCAATAACACACACAAACAGCAACCAGAATGACCGCCACACTGAAGATGATGGCCAGTATCTGTAAAGGAAAATGACTTACCTTTCTCCAGTTTCCATCTTCCTTCTTGACCCTCAAATTTAGGTGCAGACATTACAGTCTTCTAGGTGACCCTGGAGGTGTCTGTACCTCTTTGTCATAGCAAGCAAATTGCTGGTCAGTACAGAGCAGAGGACATTGAGAGTTATAGGCCCTTAGATTAAGTGGATTGGTCATACTAAATTGTCCATAGTGCCCAGGGATGTGCAGGCTAGGTGGATTAACCATGGGAAATGCAGGGTTACAGGGATATGGTATGGGGGTGGGCCTCACTGGGATGTTGTTTAGTGGGTCAGTGTGGACTCAATGGGCCAAATGGCTGCTTCCACCCTGCAGAGATTCTATGATTATATGGTTCTTATCTCTTTTTTGTCCATTTTGGAACTGAACGATACAGAATAGATGAGGAAGCTCCTTACCTTCACAATCCAGCCCTTTCAGAATGTTAACATGGAGGCATCGATGGATCGGAAGCCAACCCAAGTCAGCAAGATTGATTCAGA